CCGTCGGTCTGAGGGTGATATGCCGTGGAAGCAGCGATCTGGTATCCTAGGAGGCGTGCTAATTCTCTAGAGAACCTAGAAATGAACTGGGGGCCTCGATCAGAGATCACCTTTTCATGGAGTCCGAAACGTTTGAATACGTTTTTAAAGAATAATTTGGCTACTCCCTCAGAAGAGATGTTTTTGTTACAGGGAGAAATAATCACCCCCTTCGTAAGGCCATGGTCTACCACGACCATGAGAGAGTCAAAACCGTTGGACATAGGGAGGTCGGTGACAAGGTCAACAGAGACCTGGGAGAAGGGACGGGCAGCAGAGGAGGGAATGGGGACAAGGGGTGGCGAAACAGGGGTGAGTGTCAGTTTTCATCTGCTGACAGAGAGCGCAACCAGCGACATAGGAGCGAATAAAAGTGCCCATTGCAGGCCACCAGTAGTCACGCTTGACAAGTTCCTTCAGTTTTGAACCGTCCGGGATGTCCGGCAGTGGGATGGTCATGGTGACGGAGCAATATGGCCGCCCGGTGTGACGGTGGCACATAGGCGCGAGACTTATAGTAAAGTACTCCGTCCAGACATCGTCCAGTCGGAGAGGGCTGATTTCATAGGGGGTAGGCAGAGCCCATCTAGGGCGTCGCTGGCCGTGGAGAAAATGGGGTCATCCAGGGAATTCCGTGCGAGGGCAGCGGAAAGTTCGTCATCGATCAACCGTATAAACATGGAGTCTGGAAGGAGCACACTGATCCTCATTGTCGTGTTCACCAAGACCATGATCTGGGCGTCGAGAAAGTGCGTCAGGCGCTGCAAGTTTCGTTCCAGGGACGTGATGTAATTCAAGGTCATAATTAGATAAAACAAGCTGCCAACGTGCTTGTCTCCGAGAGAGTTTCTGTGCTTTCGAAAAGTAAAGAAGGTTCAGATGATCGGTGAAGACGAGAATGGGATGGGGGTTTCCTTCTAGATAGTGACGCCATTCATTGAGGGCGCGAATAATAGCAAGAAGTTTCGCGATCGAAGATTTCGTAGTTTCGTTCAGCGGGGTTGAAGGATTGGGAAATGTATTCACAGGGGTGGTAGACGCCATTTTCGTCCGTCTGGAGGAGTACAGCCCCGGTTGCTACCAGAGAGGCATCAGTAGGCAAGGGCAAACTTGGCGGGTAGGGATCAGGGTTTCGTAGCACCGGTTTCGTTGTAAAACATGCTTGAGTTTATCGAACGAGGCCTGAGCGTCAGTCGTCCAAGCGAAGACTTGATCTTTCCGAGTGAGATTGATAAGTGGTCGGGCGATATCAGAGTAGTGGGATACAAACGCCCTGTAAAAGTTGCAGAATCCCAGAAAAGGAGCGGACATCTTCACAGAAGTCGGGATAGGCCAATCCTTTATCCCGTCGACTTTGGCATGCTCCATTGCGACTTCTCCGGGACGAATAACCATCCCAAGGTACTCCACTTCTGCCGCGTCAAAAGTACATTTTTCTGGCTTGACGAACAGTTGTTCGCGACGGAGTATCTCCAATACTCTTTTCGTTCGTTCGTGGTGTTCTGTTAAGTCAGAAGAGAAAATGAGAAGGTCATCCATATATATGACGATCCATCCTTCGTTGATTTCGTTTTGGAAGCGGTTGTTCATATAGGATTGGAAAGTGGCGGGAGAGTTGGTTAAGCCAAAGAACATTACAGTAGGCTCAAATAGGCCTTCTTCCGTAGTGAAAGCGGCCTTCCACCTATCGTCAGGATGGATTCTGATATTATTATAGCCGGACCGTATGTCGATCTTTGTGAAGTATCTGGCTTTGTAGAGTCGTTCGATAAGAGTCTTGGGAAGCGGGAGTGGATATTGGTTGCGTACGGTCCAATCGTTAAGGTACCGATAATCCTGACAAGGACGTAACTCTCCACTTTTCTTTCCTACAAAGAAAAATCCACTGGCTTGCGGGGATTTCGAGGGTACAATGAATCCTTTCGCGGTGTTTTCTGTGATAAAGGTCTTTACCGCTTCTCTTTCTTTTCCTGATAATGGGTAGATTTTGGACGTTCTTGGCATGAATCCAGGCTTCAGATCGATTCGATGATCGATACCAGGACGTTCCGGTGGTAACTTATTAAGGCCGTCTTTCGCAAAAATATCAGCGTAAGTGTGCAGGTAAGAAGGAACGAGTTCTTCGAAACTCTTCCTCATTTTTTCTTTCTCCCCGGCGACAGCGAATTCCTGAGCTTTATTGCTAGTTTTCGAATAGCTTTGCTCCTGCTTTGACGTACCGTCTCTGGTGAGAGGAGTGTCAAAAGAGACGTCGGAGATTATTCTGACTTGAGAACCGTCAGGAGGAGTATTCGATTAAGACGTCTTCATCGTTCAAGGGATAGAGGGAGGGGTCGACTACCGGAGGTGCATAGTTTTCCGACCATACATCTTCCTTGGTATCGTAATCCGGCTCATCTTGATCTGGTGCAAGGCGGGAAGTTCTTCGTCGGTAACTTCTTCAATGGAAGGCTCGTGGATAGGTGGGTGAGATGGGGGATTTCTTTAATTTGGAATTCTTCCATTCACGGGACGGTTCTTTCTCTGCGGGAGTGAGAAGGGGAAACAGCAACGGCAATTGCGCTGCCTCCTAAGATGATCAATTTTTCTTTCGATCTCGAGCGATCGTTCGTTTGGCGCAAGAGTCAGTTCTTTGTTCGTCCAGTCGATTGACGGGTTTAGTGCTTTCAACCATGGGAAGCCGAGTAAAATTTTGTCTTTCTTCGAGAGTTTGGTTATGTTGAACTTTCCTATCATGGTTCTCCCGTCAATTTTGACGATGAGGACGCAGTAGCGAGAGATGAGTCCTCCTCTGGCGTCAGATCCGTCTGCGGTTATAACGGGGAACGGTTTCGAGAGTTTATGGGTTTTGATTCCGTGGAGCTTGCAGAATTCCTCGCTAATGAAGGTTCCGCTTGCTCCGGAGTCGATGACCATAGAGGTTTCGATGGTTTTGTTACGCTTGGTGGAAATAATGGTGGCAGGGACGCGAAGCTCCTTTTTATTTCCAAGTGATTGTACAAGTCGTATCGGGACAGGAGATACTGACATCGATGCAGTCTCCTTCTTTAAAAATCCATCTCCACGAATCGTCGGTTTACCTCTTCGTCGTCATCACTACTCTCTTCTTTCTCAACCTTTCTGCGGATAGGCATCTTCTGTTTCTTATCTTCTCTGGGGTGGAATGTGGTATCGTTGGCACGATGGCCCGTCTGGTGGCATTTGAAGCAGCGTCCTTCCTTGAGGTGTCTCTTTACTTCGGACTCGGAGAGTTGATCTATCTCCATGGCATCGCTTCTGCGGGGGGTGAAGTGGCGATCCCCGTACTTCTTCTTCTTATGCTGGTAGTGCGCGGGGTTTTCTCGTTTCTGTATGGCTCTCAACCTCTGGAAGGCGTTATCTAGGTTGATGCACGTCGCAATGACGGTTTCAAAGTCGTCTAGACTTTCTCCAGTGTGGTAGAGGTTGTTGCGAAGTCCTACGTCAAGACCTTCGCGGAAGAACTCTACTTTGGTGACATTCTCGGTTATTCCTGCTTTATGGGCTAGGAGGCAGTAGTTGGAGATATACGTATGGAGGTCTCCTTTCATTTCAAGGGCTCGTACTTTAGCCATGGCCGTTCCGGCGGGGTCTATAGCTCCAAAGGCTTCTTTGAATGCGACTTTGAAATCGTCCCAGGTGCCATATCCGATGAGATTTCCGGCGGTATTCTTTAACTTTGGCGTTCTGAGCGGTTTCCATGAAGTCTTCTTTCCAAGCGGCTGCATTGCCCTTGGTCATGAACGAGAGTGCGAAGATTACTCTTTTCTTGTCGTTGTCATAGATCTTCTCGTTGATATCTAAGTACACATTACAGTTCAGCATGAACCTGTGCGATTCATTGCGGTCTCCGTCGAATTCGGGGGGAGTAACCGATCTTGATTTCTATTTCTTTGGTAGTGGTCGCCATCGGATTCAACGGTGGTATTGGCGGTAGCGTGCCTAGGTTCAAAGCTCCGATCAAAGGAGTTAACGAAGTCGTGGTGTCTTGCTGACGTCGCAGGTGGCGGCGTCTAGAAAAAAGGACTTTAATCTTTTGTTACGACTGGGGTATGTCGAGCTGTCTTAGTCCGAGTGGACTGAGATTCGGCGAGACAGACGTGGTTCTTCTCTCGAGTGAGAGGTCAAAGGTTTCTGGCTAAGGCAAGTATCGGCGACTTCCTTAGAATGGTGGTTCTTAGATAGCAAGGTTGGAGACCTTGCTAAAGGACTTGTTCCAGGTAAAACCCAGTAGATTAAAGTGAGGAACTACATGTGGTACGCTATGTATCTATATAGCGAGAGTTCAAGCGGAGCTTGTAAATGTGTATCAAGATAGAAGGCGGACAGCCCGCTTGGTAAGTGATAAGAGATAAGAGATAGGAGATAGTAACCATGGTGCGGACAGCCCGCTTTGATAAGAGATGGTCTAGACATAGTGATGGTTACTAGCACGGAAAGCTAGCTTGACGATGATATGAGTAAGAGTCTGAAAAGTAATTGGTCGCTCGTTAAAGGCCGTGTCCATGTACCATTGTCCGGTAACAAAGGAGAAACGAAGAGAATGAATGTACCGTAACAGCTGTAGAAAAAGAATGTTTCCCTTCTTTCAAGGTCTGACTCCAGGAGCTAGAAGTCACGATGGATTGGACTTCAGGAAAAACACCTAGTAGCCGAAAGACCTGTGTGACAGATGTGAGAAGCGAAGGCTTTCAGATGTGGCACAAAGGAATTCTCAGATGCTCGAATAACCAGATACAAGTCAAGTAAATTCAAGAACGCCAAAAGTACAATCAACTAGACGACCCTTCTCTTATACTGGTAGAGGTGCGAGGCTTGTGATTCTTTAGAATAAGCAGGTGATAAAGTAAAGGTTTCAGATTGCGTGACTCCCGAGTCTCCGATACGAGTAAGTCCGAAGGTAGACGTCACATACCCCCCTTCAGAGGACGTCCTGCGACCTCTCACTTCTTCGGGATGCGGCCCTTGGCTTTGGCAGCGCGCGCCTCGGCAGTGGTCTCGTTGGACTCTGACATTTCTTCATCATGGTCCTCCGGGGTCGGTGGTAACTCTGGAGGCGGCAAGGCAGGGGCAGGAGGGGAAGTGTTGGATGGGCCCGCGACAGCATTGGTCACGGCCTTGGAAGGTGCGAACGGTTTCATGGCTTCCTCTACCTCTCGCCTCTGGCGCTTAGCCTGCCTTTCGGATACCCCTTTCTCTCTCCACTGTCTCTGTTTCTTTATGCACTCAAGATTATCCCATAGCGCTTCGTCCATCAGCTCGGTCCAGCAGGGGTCAAGCCATTTCCTGCCGGCGTCTTCTCTTGGGTCGTGAGGTGCAGGCAAGGTGCGCCGGGTGGCTTCAAGTCCCACCAACTCAGCTAGCGCGGGGGGACGGCCTGTGATGTGTACACCCGCCTCTCCTTCTGGTACGAAGGCAACTTGGATTCCATTCCCCGCGTTGGTGTTTAAGGCGATCGCAAATTTGTCATATCCAATGGGGGTAGGGATAGAGCTGGGGGTTGCTCCTCCGCGTAGGTCAGCGTCATGCTGCAGATACATGCGGATTTGGTCGAGGGTTAGGAGTAAGGTGACGTTGGGACTGTAACGATCTGGGAGTACGAAACGTCCATTGCCCAAAGGTCGTAGCAGCGGGGCGGGAGCGGAGTTGGTGTTGGGCGTGTTGGACATGGAGTATGGTGATTGTCGTGAGGAAGTGGAGGGGGAAAAGTCTTGTCGAGCAGGGGTCTTAATGTAGTCCTCCCAGAGGTCCATAGCCCCAAAAAACACATGATAGTGCTCGACAGACGGTGCCTCGTTGCCACCTACCAGGTCAGCAATGGTCTCGATCCCTAAGACATCGAAATAGTCCTGCAACGCACCAAGATGATCGACTTGGTCGTATGGGAGCCAGGTCACGTCGCCCGCTTTCCACTTTACCTCGAACTCTGTGTCCGATCTGTTCCCTTTATGGGACAAAATGCGATCCACGGCCCACTCCTTTTCCTGGGTCTCGAACTCGGCAACTTGATTATCCATTCGACCAGGAAACAACCGATCGTCGCTTGGTGTGTGAATCCGCAAGTATGACGAGTGAAACACATCGTGGATTCCTCTCTGTTTCAGACGACTAGGCAGTTCTATTCGGAACGAGTTGTTCCTGAAGTCCTCAATGATCCGATAGGGTCCCACGAACTTAGGTAAGAGTTTCCTAGCCAATCCTTTTGGGAAACTTAAGTTCTTAGTCGATATATAGACCAGGTCTCCTTTGCTGAAAGGGCATGGCCGGCGCTTCTTATTAGCGTCACACGTTTGTTTCACGCGAGCATTGATTATGCTATCATGCGCGTCCATAATGCCTCATTTCATCCTCTGCAAGAACACTCTGACACCAGGGTACTCCGTTTCGAGTGGGTCATCCCAAATCATGGCTCTAGGTCTGCGACCCGAGTTCGTTTCAAAAGGTGAGTGCTGTGTTGATTCTGAGCTCGCTATGTTGATAGCAAATTCGATTGCAGGTAACTTAGGCACCCAATCCCTCTGGTTTGGGGCTATGCACGCTCTCAACATCTGCACGATGGTTCTGTTGGCCCGTTCTGTGGACCCATCGGTTTCAGGGTGGTAAGCACTCGACATCTTTTGTTTAGCGCCGATGAGTTTATTGAAATTGGTCCAGAACGCGCTAGTGAATAGTACGTCCCTATCGCTAATGATGTACTTAGGTATACCATGGTACTTGTATACCTCTGCAAAGACTAACTCTGCAACCTCTTTAGCTGTGTAGGTTATCCGGCTCGGTACAAGATGCACCATCCCGCTGAACAGGTCGATGATGACCGTGATCGAGTCATACTCCCAGTTCCTATCCTTTGAGAGCGGTAGGGGACCTAGGAAGTCGATGCCAATAGCTTCCCAAGGTCTGGATGGGACCGGTAAGGAGTTTAGTAGTCCATATGGTTTCTGGTTTGATGGTTTGCTCGTTTGACAGACTGAGCACGTCTCGCAGAATGCGTGTACGTCTCATACCATCGTCTTCCACCAGACTCTGTCTCTTAGATATGTGAGTGTTTTCTGCGCACCCAGATGAGCGAGTATGGAATGCGCTTGGCTGATGATATTCTCTTGCAGCCATCTTCCTTCAACCTTTATGTTAGGTATACATAGCAGGACCCGGTCGTTCAGCCAGGATGCGGACGATCCCGTCAGTCGACTTCAAAGTTTCGAAAGTGTTTCGGTGAGTCCATCACCTTCTGAAAGAACGGGTCGAGATGATATTGACCCTTGATCTCTTCCAGTGTTTTATCCTCATCTGAGTCTGGGTACGACGGGAGCTGTGTGAGAGGGGCAAACCGCTCTTCCTCATGCACCCCGTTATTCGCTGTGTTAGGGAGGTGAGTGTCATCTCCCTTTCCCCCCACCTTTCGTTCACCAGGACCCCGCAGAACGAAATGATCGCAGGACCCTCCTGGCAAACTCAGCAGAGGTTTCTGGCCTCCCTGTCTCCGCAGGTGGCTCTGCCACCTTCTTCCGCCGTGCTGGATGGCCATCATCCCCAGACCCCTTCGTCCGGTGATTCCCTACAGCAGGGTCATCTGGGAGGGCCCCTTTCATTGCCCTGTGTGGCTTCCCCAGCAGGTTTTGACGTCGCAGCCCGCTGGCCCGCAGGCAACCAGGCAGGGATGACCACTGGACGCGCAGCGACCCTGGCACTTCGCCGTGTGGTCGCTGCCAATGCCTCCCCTCCAACCATGAGGGGCATGGAGATGAGATGGGCCAATGCACTCGGCAGACCCTCCAGGACGTCAAACTCTGTATGTTCTGTCCGAGCCCGGACGGTCCCAGGAGCGTCGAAGGCGTACATCCGAGACAGGGTGTCAGGGAGCAGATTTTTCCCTCCCAGGTATGTACTTGACGTCAAAGTCAAATTCACCTATCTTCTCCATCCAACGCGCCTGTCGTCCACTGACATTCTTCTGGTTCAACAGGTGGACCAGACCCTTGTGGTCAGTCAGCCACGTGAAGTGAGCACCCTGGAGGATATCCCTATGACGGCAGCATCGTCTCCACCCCGGCCAACATCTCCTGCTCATGGACGGCATAGTTCCGCTGTGCCGAAGAGAGCTTGGCCTGAGAAGAACGCAGCAACCTTAGCTGTCTCCCATTCTGCACCCTGCACCACCACACCACCAATGCCACCCAGACATGCGTCTGTCATGATGAAGATGGGCGGGGCGTCCTTACCATACTGCAGGGGTACTCGGCAATGCGGCTTGCAGGTCGCCACGTACTGCTTCACCTCCTCGAAGGCACGCTGCTGGGTGAAGTCCCACCTAAAAGGTACGGCGTCCCCTGTAATCTCAGATAGCACACCTAACGGTATACGAACCTTGTAGATATCATCCGCGAGGTATCCTACTGATCCGATGAGCCCCCGGCAAAGGTCACAATTCGTTGGGACCTTCCAATTCAACACGCGGTCCACCTTCTCTGGGTCCATCCGTATCCCATTGTCATCTACGATGCGACCAAGGATTTTCACCTCCTTGCACAGGAACTTAAGCTTCTTTTCGTTCAGGTAAAGTTTCTCCCGTTCCAATATGCGTAGCACTGTCCCAACGTGCTCAACGTGCTCCGCCAGGGTGTCTGAATAGATGATTATGTCATCTAGATAGACGTCCATCCACTTCCCTGAGGTATTCCCCAAACAGATAGTTCATTAGTGCCTGGTATGTGGCCGGCGCGTTACAGTCCCCCTGCTGAAGGACATGACTGACCATGTTGCCGTCAGGGGTGGTCATCGCCGTGCGAGGCACATGCTCGGGTACCACCCTTATTTGTTTGTATGCATCCTGACCATCCATCAGGGAACGGTAGGGTTTCTGCGCGACACGCCGCAGGATTCCCTCCATGTCAGGCAAAGGTGAGGTGAGCTTCTGTGTATTCTTATTATGCTCTCTCAGATCCACAACAGTGCGCAGTCGGTCAGACCCAGGCTTGCGGATGAACAACATTGGCACCGTGTTCCCAGCACTCGTCACCTGCCAATGGCCTGAAGCCAAGTATGACTTTTGTTTCTCTGCCCACTGGGGCCTCAATGGCTCAGGACACCGCGAGGGTCGCCACGGGTATATCTTCATTTTCGTCCATCAAGGGTATGGTGTGATTAATCGCCCTTAGTGGAGGTAAGCCAGTCTCGCTAGCTTTTGCACATAGTGGGTGAGCTAAATCCCGCAAATGATCTCAGTATTTTCTCAAGGTTCTCCTCGTGAATCTCCGTCGCGCGAGACTCCAAGGTGGTTACCTCGCTCCCCTTCATTGGCAAGGGAGCCGTGCTCCCAATCACGACCCTAGGAGGGTTCAAACCTATCATCACCTTATGTTGGTACAGGAACGGTGTCCCGAGGACTAGGTCATAATTTTGTAGGTTTATCACGTCGAAGTACCTGTCTTCTTTGATGGTCTGATACTCCATTCTGACTCTAGTGCCGAAGTTAACCTTCGATCGTGATCCCTGGACTGCCAGTTGGACCACGATCGGCTTGGTAAGTTCTTTCCTAGGCACTTTCAGCTGCTCTGCGAGGGTGACTGACATGAAATCAGACAATGATCCCGAATCAATGAGTGCCCGCGCGGGCCTCCCATTGATGTGCACCAGGACTACCACAGGTTTTGGTATGAGTCGTTTAAAGTCCTTTGTTACCACTGATCCTCGTTGTAATGCAGGATAAGTGCCAGCAGGGATCTGCTGCCCATTTAACTCTAAGGCATGCAAGCCCAATTTATCATACCGGAGCTGTGCATCAGGTGAGCGAGTATATATGCTTTGGGCTACGTCCTCTAGCTGACATTCTATGGGTGACAGCGGATCCCTTCCCAATGACCTCAGGATATTGGTCTCCTCCATGCCCCCTTGCAACCGCTCGCAAAGTTCGTTGTGAGCACGCTGTAGTTGCTTTTCATACCATTTGGCTAATCGGAACTTCTCATTCAACAATAGGTTCACAGGCACGATGACATTGAATTCTCGTACGTGATCTCTTATTTCATACGTCCCGTTGCTATGGTGCATGCACTCAAAACGGTTTCTTTGCCCATAGTCTGGATGGTCCCCAGGGTACCGACCTCGCTGAGTCAACAATTGTTCAACCCGAGTGGCGAGGGGGGTTTGCATGTCGAGGGTCTTTCCATCCAACCTCTTTCTCCAGTGTCTCGTGAGTGCTGGGTCCAGGCCCCGAAGTTCTCCAACTCTTTGCAGCGTACCAATTGGCTAGCTGGAAACGGGGACTCAACAGTAATGAGGTGGGTACTGTCACTTCTGGGTCCCTCCGGTCCTCTCGGTCAATAATGACATGCTGATCATCAGACACCCGATAGACCGTGAACCGTTCCAATGGTATTGGCTTCCAAGGGTTAGCGTCACCTGGGATAGAACCCCCCAGTCCAACACATATTTGGCCCGCATGGCCAGGGGATCTCCCATAGCATCAGGTTCTGCTCCTTGGGCCTCCCAGTCCTCTTTTCCTGGGGCCCCATCGTGCAGCACGGTGGCTCTCTTTGTCCGTAATATGGTATACTCACCCCCAATTGGGTACACTCCCATAGCCGAACTTTCCAATGTCACGAAGGGGGTGGTATCATTTGACTCGGTCACTTCCACATACTTCAGTCATAGCCCTATGTAGAAGTGGTGCCCCGGATGTGCCAAATGGCCCTAGAATGGGTACCAGCCTGCACCGGCCTATACATGCACATTGGTGCCGGCCAAGGGTGTTAAGGTGGTACTGGCCAACCACTGAAGTGGGGCTGCCTATACGTGAAGGCTGACCACAGGTGTAGGGGTGGTACTGGCCGACCACTACATATACATGTACATTGGTGCTGACCACAGGTGTGGGAGTGGTACTGGCCGACCACTGCCTACACATGTATATTGGTGCTGGCCAGAGGTGTGAATATGGTACTGGCCGACCACTGCATATACATGTACATTGGTGCTAACCACAGGTGTGGGAGTAGTACTAGCTGACCACAGCCCATATATGTACATTGGTGCTGGCCAGAGGTGTGGGAGTGGTACCGGCCGACCACTGCCTACACATGTATATTGGTGCTGGCCAGAGGTGTGGGACTGGTACTGGCCGACCATTCAAGTGAGGCTCCCTATACACACACATCAGTATCAGCCAACACCTTAGGACATGGAAAATAGAGTTGGCCTGACTAAGTCCAAGTCATGTAGAGGCAGGCAGTTCAACAACTTAAGGCATCAGAAAAACTTAACATTGTTGAAGAACCTTATGGTACTTGGCCAAGTCTTTCCAAGACTTGCACTAACACACTCAAGTCCAGCAAGATATTTGACTTATACCAGTTTGTCAGTATCAGTAGAAAGGCTAAGTATACAAATATATTTAAGTTTTTCATGTCCTATGTGGTCTGGAGCATCATGGTCAAACACAAGTATCTAAAACAATTCAGGAATGATAAGGAAAGTGTAGGTTTCCTGATGGCATTGATAATAGAGTCGGCCGGATCAGGTCCAGGCTGTGTATGGCCTGGCCGGCCGACACCTTAGATATTGATAATAGAGTCGGCCGGATCAAGTCCAGGCTGTGTATGGCCTGGCCGGCCGACACCTCAGGCAGTGATAATAGAGTCGGCCGGATCAGGTCCAGGCTGTGTACAGGAGGCAGGCCGACACCTCAGACGTGGACAATAGAGTCGGCCGGATCAGAACTAGGTTATGTATGGCCTGGCCGGCCGCACACCTCAGACAGTGATAATAGAGTCGGCTGTATCAGGTCCAAGCTGTGTACAGGAAGGCAGGCCGATACCTCAGACGTGGACAAGAGAGTCGGCCGGATCAGAACTAGGTCATGTATGGCCCGGCCGGCCGACACCTCAGACAGTGATAATAGAGTCGGCCAGATCAGGTCCAGGCTGTGTACAGGAAGGCCGGCCGACCCCTTAGACATTGACAATAGAGTCGGCCGGATCATGACCAGGTCGTGTATGGCCAGGCCGGCCGACACCTCAGACAGTGATAATAGAGTCGGCCGGATCATGTCCAGGCTTTATACAGGAAGGCAGGCTAATACCTTAGGTATATATTGAACATAGACTTCTGCATATCTAATGATGGGATTTTTGATAGACACAAACCTAGTATTATCAAGAAAGATGTTGGTTTTAGTACTATCCCTTTAGAGCTAGTTCATTCAAATTGCAATATCTGCAAGTATAAATGGGCCAGCTCTACAGTATGATGTAGGCAGGGTTCCTGACCATCATAACAATCATTTTTTGGCTGGATAAGTCTTTGATATTATAATAGCCAAGACTGTTAAGTGACTACAATCAACTTGTCTTGAATGAATTTTCAGCATCCAATGCAAATCTTCCCCACAAGAGCACCTGTCGATGTGCATAAGCTTGATGACCGGGGCTTTGTAGCTTGTTGGTATCTTTGGTCCCATTCTCCCATCCTGTATTTAAACCAACTCACTGTCCAACCCATTTCGTGTTGGACCAATCTCAACTCTTCCTCCCACCTTTGCCATCTAGCCTTAGCTTTCAACCAATTTACCCTGTAGACTAATACAGGTCACTTGCAGAAACATAGACATATTAGATATGACTTACCCATCCACACATCTTCCTTCAAATCATGACCGTTGTTGACTCTCCAAAACCAAGCCAGTCTGTCTGATCCCTGCCCATATCTGTTCTCTTCAGTCACTTCCTTGTCAACACTGAGCTGGTGTAGCTGAATGTCTTGATAGATCGTCGTCAGAGTATCTTCATCAGCCCCTAGTCTCTGAATTGAACTCCTAGCCCTTTGATACCTTCGGACACACTTCTCTATCTTGATACGGCATTGAAGAGCCTCCTGCTTTGACCTGGTTCCTGTCCATGTGGAATCTGCACTTCGGAAATGCTGACGGTAAATTATTGCTTTATGACCGAGAGCTTGTCGCAACTTTTCCAAGCAATCATTCGCTTGACCCTTTCGTAACTCCAGTTCTTCAGCTTGCAGAGTGTGCAAGCCCAGGGCTAAAGCCTCATTTCGAGG